AGAAGATAATAAAAATACCACCACTTCCTTAATATATTGGATCCCTTTGGATGAGAAGAGAGTCAAGCACAGTCCAGTGGCTGCAATTATTCCCCTACTACTCAGAGGTCTGCGATCCAGTCAGCTATATATTGTTACACACCATCGCAATCTCTGAGCGGTGAGAGATTCCAGGGGTCCAGGCTTCGTGTTTCTTTTGGAATGAGGCACAGCAGAGACTGTGGAGTCTTCATGATATATGGTTTGTTTACATATATCTACAACTTGCACCTACGATGGAGGAGCTTACAGAATTGACACCCCAATAGGTTTTTGCTTCTCCCAAAGCTGCAGCCTCGGATTCAAAACAGAAAACAAACATGCTGTCTCTACCCCCTCCTCCGCCAGTTTGCTGACTTCTACAGCCTGAAACCGTTTCCCTTCAGCTCACATTATCCCCAACTACAATCCTAAAAAAGCTCCACATTGCTTTGTCTCTGCTGTCTCAGAGCTCAGGGAGGCACCTCACCGCTGTCTGGCACAGTCTTTGCTTTGTTAATGGCCCATTACCTTCCCTTTGTTTTCCTTTAATGGCCCATCTCTCAGGTGATCTCCTGAAGAAGCTGGCCTGATTTATATTTTAAACCTTGTTGGATCTGGAGGTTCAGGAAGCAGGCTTAAAGTCTAACCTTTTGCTGGATCCAGGATTTTAGAGATGTCTAGCACCCTCAGACTCATAACACCATATTAATTTTTACCTTCTCTCCTTGGATATGAAGACTTCTGTCTTGGGATTCAGATATGAGGTGGTGTTTAGTTGAAAACATGTGTTTTGCCCATAGCTGTCAACCTTCCCTTTTTTTGCAGGAAATTCCCTTATTTCAGCGCCGTTTCCCGCTGCTTCCCGCTGCTATCCCGGATTGTTAGATATCCCATAGACTGTGTCCGGGACAGGTGAGGCTGCTGATCCCTTATATTCAAATTCTAAAGTCGACAGCTATGCTGCTGATCCCTTATTTTTGAGGCTGCTGATCCCTTATTTTCAAATCTGAAAGTTGACAGCTATGGTTTTGCTGTTGTTCTATGGTCCTGCCTGCCCCCTCCTTTTAACCTGAGGGCTGCCTCAGTTTAGCATTTTTATAATCTCAGCTGTGGGCCTGCAGGTAACATTTGGAAAATGCTGCTTTCAAAACTGTGGTCAAGGAAGAGCAATTTATAGTATTTCTCCTCTCTCTCTCTCTCACCCCCCCCCCACTCAGAAGGCCTACCTTCTTGCACCCTCTGCTATTAGTAGACTTGGGAATCTTTTCATGTCTTCCATACCTTGCTTCTGTGCTCCAAATGGCTTCATGGTTTCACCCCTTTAAAATATTTTACTTCCTCTACTGCTTCTTAAATTCTCCAAAGAACTGGAGGGTAGTAACAAAGGAAAAACAAGCAGCAGTTTATTCCCCCCGATTTTCCTTTACCTCCTGTTTTAGGCTGTTATAAGCCTTACTCTAATGCTTTCTTAATGTAATTTGGTAGGTGCCTTATGTTTGGGCTTCTGTGCACAATTTCACTTCTTGAATTTGTTTCCTTTAGCAATTTCACTTTGTTATGGTGTGAAGACACCCCCTACACACACAGACACATACATGCATATGTCTCCAGCAGATTTATGTTCATTTTTTGTTGAATGAGGAATGATCAGGAAAGAACAAAAATAAATAATTCTGGAATTAGTTGCTGGCAACTGAAGATGTGCAGTACTCTGTTGCCAAAGAGTCTTGCTCTATTACTATTCTATAGATAGCTACTGGGAGTGTTTTAGCTCTTTTGAAGATGAAAGAGAATGTCCCACTGAGAACAAATATGAGTTGCTGAACATTAACAATATTCTCTCATTTGTTCCTTATTAACCATTTATCAATTGAAATTATTAGAGATCTGCCACTAAAGAGAGTTTTTGTTCCAGTCAAAATTCTGTACCTGGAATATCTGATCTAACAGTGAAGAGCAGAGAGCCTCTAAGCATGAGCAGAGCATACTTTCTTTACCACTAAATAAGTGCCATTCGATCACATATACATTGCTTGGAGCAAGTTTGAACCTTTGTAACTTTCTTCTTTCAAGCAATTTGAGGAAATTCTTATTTTTCAAATAATCATTTATATGTTCTTCAGAAGTTTCTGTTCATTAATGAGCCATAATAATAATAATAATAATAATAATAATAATAATAATAATAATGTTGTGACCTTCTTCAGTTTTCATGTAGGACAAAACAAATGCAACAGATCTGAAGACCTTGCTCTCACTGAAAGATGGAGGACAGCAGATCAGTGGAAGAGCGTATAATTCCTGAAGACCAAAAGAAACTATTTCCAGGGAGCGTTTAATTTTACGTATCCAGGAGAAAGAAGATTCCATGGAAATATTCACTCTAGCTCCTGCTAGAGTTGGGACTGGCATCAATCTCAAAAGCAACACGAGGGCCAGAAACGATAACAATGTGAAAAACTTTATGGAACAATTCAAAACATCAAAACTAACAAACTGAAGTCTCTGAAAGTCTCTGAAAGTCCTTAAATGAATCACAGTGCCAGACTTTACCCAGCGGAGAGGAAGCTGTGAAGCTTTGTATAATCAGCAAATGTCCAATTCTGATGTCCAACTCTGAACTCTGCTGAACAGTGTTTCCAGATAACAACTACCGTTTCGTTGAATTCTGCATCAGCCAATTAGTTCAACACTTGTAAGTAGAAAGATATGTAATTTCTTCATTAACCAATCTTTTTTTGAATAGATAGAATGAAAAATACTCTGGAACAGTGCTCATGCGATTATGTAGTCACTTCTACTCCCATATAGATCTGTGCACCATGGTCCCTGAGGGCAGTAACCTGACTTGGAAGTTGGAACCTGAAGTAAAAGGAGAAAAACACGTTGCTCTGTTGACCAGACAAAGATAGAACTCTAAGCTCCTACTATTTAGACTAGGCTAGGCCAATCAAGAGGCTCCATACAGTCTGCTAGCCACAAGGATCTGTGTTGCACACCTTTATTCTGTCTGCTTGAACTCTGAAGCTTAAGTATACACATCATGCCTCACTAGGTTAGACTCCAGCTCTAGACCACAAGGTTTTTGAATCAAGTTCTGGGTTGATTCTGCACCACAGGAATATTAGCACTTCCCTTGATGATGAGAAACCACCTAGGTGCCCATACTACATTGGTTGGGGTGTTGCGGATGAAGGATTAGCAATAAGAGAGCAAAGCCTCTCTTCCTGTCATAAATACATAGGAAGCCATACTATTGGTCCATCGGATCCAGTATGGCCTACTGTGACTGGCAGCAGTTTCCAGAGGTGTTTCACACCATCTTCTACCTGCTTTTTTAAAACTGGAGATGTCCAAGACTAAACCCAAGATGTTCTGCATGCAAAATACATGTTCTACCATCAAGCTAAGTTTATAACCATACCTTCAATGAAATCTAGGAATGTTCAGGGCTTTTTATTTGTTTATTTTAAATGTTGCTTAAAGGTAGACATGAGCGAAAATAGTACCAGCTGGTTGTGATGTTCACATTAATAGTGGCTTCAGTTATTTATTCTTCTTGGTTAGCTATCTGAACTCTTAAATTCCTTATAGTAATAAATATTTTTTACACAGAGAATGAAAGCTGTGCTTATTTCACAATATAAGAGAAACGTCCCCATGTCTTTGTGATATATTCTACTGAAGAATCAAGTATCCTTGTTCTTTTACCAGTAAGCACTAGGCTAGTTATGATCTTTATACATGATAATGTGAGAAGGGCCAGTCTGCTGGAGCTCAGACCTGCCTCAGAGTCTGTGGGAAATTATATTGTATGTAAGTATGATATAACGGTTGGGCAAATGCTTTTGCAACTAGGAATTTCTCAAGCAGGGGCTGCTTCGGTTAGAGGACAAAGCCCAACAAAATATGAGGAATTAAGATGAAAATGAGATCTAAATTATTAATAAAACAAAGTACCGCTGCTTTTTCCCCCATGCCCATTTCCTGATCTATTGGATTTTCTCTCATTGTTCTGCAGAAATTGCTTCTGACTGTACAATGGACTTCTTGCAGGGCTATGGGTCTCAGGTTCTTGATTTTTCATAATTCACTCAAATGCCAGCTCAATAACATTAAGTGGAAAAATAGAAAGATATGCGTTCACTTTTTCCACAGAAACAATTTTGAAAATCCATTTACATGGAAAATAAAGAGACATTAAGCCCGGTGCAAAGCTGCAGCTGAATGCAGAAATCTGAAAGCACAATATTTTATTTCTCCAGATAACACAATGCAAACTGTTATTTACTGCCTGAGAGAGCTAAGGAGCTCTGTGTTCTCTAAGGAGGCGGCTGCTTCTGTAATTTACAGAGTGATGAAATCTGGCTAATAACACTTTTACATTTTTAAAAAGAAAATAACCCTAAACACTGACTCTCTCTGGAGAGTTTGAAGCAATAGCAGGTATTAGTTAAGCTGCATTTCAGTTTCATTCATCGGCACTAATACTTCCCAAGCTGCTCTGTCCCTGAAATGCTGGCATTCAAACATTCCTCAGATAGCAAACTGTTTGCCACCTGCCACGCTGCAGTGCTTAGACAAGTTTCCCTGGAAGATGTTTTGCTAAATAATATCATCAACAACACAATTACATGGAGGGAAAAGAGGATTTCTCTACTGAGGGGAAAATACACATCTCCAGTATGTCAGCTGAGTGAGAAAACATAGCAAAGACACAATGATGCTTTGCAATTGTGGAGTTTATCTGAACACAATTTGCCAATGCATGAAGAGTACTTTCTGTACTATCTAAATTGTGTGAGGAAGGATCTGGGAGGTTTGTTCCCATCTGGTACACCCAGATTTTCCCCTTCCATCTGTGGTGTTACACTGAAATATCTTGTGTTATGTTGAAATGAGGCCTTCAAGCTGTAGGAACATAGAATCATAGAACTGTAGACTCATCTTGCCTGACCTCCTGCAATGCAGGAATATTTTGCCCAACGTGGGCCTTAAACCCACAACCCTGAGATTAAGAGTCCCATGGTCTACTGACTATGCTATCCAGGGAAGGATATGAGTTCTTGTGTTTCTGTACATAGGAGCAAGGAGACAGTCCATGCTGAGTATCACAGTTCCTAACATCACGTTGTCTAGGCCTTCCTCCAAAAGCTTCATGTACATTATGAAAATAGTGTACAGTGGTACCTTGTTTTGAGTCTGCCCCGTTTAGGATCCGTTTCGTCAAACTTCCGTGGCAAACCCGGAAGTACCAGAATGGGTTACTTCTGGGTTTACCACTCGTAAATCATGCTTCGCGCATGCACAGAGCGGTGCTTTGTCAAGCGTCCAGGGCTCCGGAATGGATCCCCGACGCAAAAGGAGGTACGACTGTATACTTGTTTGCTCAGAGGCATCCAAGGAATCTGAAACTCTGTTAATTCAGGATTCCAGATTCCACAGAACCCCTGGAATGTACAAATATTCCTCTCCCTATGGATTGTTCATACTTTATGAGCAGATATCAAGGAAAGGGCTAGATGGAGCACCCTATTGAAGTATAATTGTTTCACGTTCTTTGACATGGAAAATAAATATATAATGTGCCTTTATTGTACTGTGAAGCATAGCTGGAGATTTCCACGGAAGCTGAAGAACAGCCTGACAAGTTAATCATTTGTGGGAATGTATCATGGGATTGTATAGGCAACCCCCATTTTAAGTGTGACCGATATGTGCATGATCACACACACACTCACAGAGCCAAACCTGGAACTGACCTGGAAACATAATAAAAGATGTCAAAGGGCATAGCGGGCGCAGAGCAGGGGGTAGGGGGTGATGCGGGGTGTTTCAATTGCATGTGATTTCACACAAGCACACCATGACCCAGAATGCAACCACTGTGCAAATAGGGGGTTGCCTGTATCTCTGCTGGCCATATGAAAGGGATTTCATTGCAGATCTATGCATATGCTGATCTGTAGGCATCCATCTTGGGTGTAAGCTCTTGATATTCAAGCTACCAAAGAAAATTGGTATGTTAATCTCTGTTCTCCAGTAAACAGTCTCATGCTAATAGAAAATAAATATATAATATCCTTGTATCGTACTGTTTGGAGAAGAGACAGAGTTTAGGTTTTTAGTTTAAGATGCAAGATATTTGTAATCTAAGATGTTATCTCTTATGCAGGGACAAGTATAAGATATCATGCAGCTTTCTGAGTGTAACTTTTATTCTTTTAAGTTGTTTTGGAGTTAATTTCTGTAAATAAAGCTTTTGAACCACATTTTTAGACTGGATATTTTCTATTTCAATACAATAGTCAGTTTTTTTATGCGCCCAAAGGCTTCCATGTGTGCAATAGTAATAACCTCAACAACCACTGTGAGCGCAGCCGCACTTCTTTATCCTGTGTACTGTAACATGGGACCAATAGTGGGTGAAGAGGGAAAAAGCAAGGGTTCAGAAACCTGTGGCCTGTTTAGGGAAGCTTTTAATGTTTGATGTTTTATCGTGTTTTTATTATTCTGTTGGAAGCCACCCAGAGTGCCTGGGGAATCCCAGCCAGATGGGCAGGGTATAAATAAATAGTTGTTGTTGTTGGGCTGAAATACCCATCATCCCTTACTTTTGGTCATGTTGCCTAGGGCTTGTGGGAGTCCAACAACATCTGGAGGGCCACAGGTTCCCTGGCCCTGGGCTAAAAGAAACAATCCTAACATTGGGCAAAGAAAATGATTCATTGTAAGATTGATATAGCATTTGGACATAGACAGGCATCTTAGCATTCATCAAATTATAGGCAAGGGTGTGTCTGGCAGAGGGATGAGGAATAACTCACTGTATTTGAGCTCTGCTTAGTGCTAAAATGAATTACCTCTACCAAATTAAGTGAGACCCAATGTGTAAGATCAAGTTCGTAACATTTTGAAACATTCTGTTGAAATAACAATTCACACTTTCAATGTTGGTCAATCAAATGTGTTTTAAATAAAGAAATAAAGAAATAAGCTTCCGTGAGTGTGGTGTTTGGAATAGGGTGAAGAGATTTAATGCCTGATATTGTTCTTGCCAATATCTTATAAAAGAAGTAATTGCAGTGCATTAAACTGGCTCCTTCCATCGAGGATCCTCACGCCAGTTCTTAATATCCATATCCACAAAAATTGAAAATGGCTTGTAAGTGCAAGTAAAGGGTACTTATAAAATTAACAAATGAGCTGTAGTGTGTATCATGCTGGGATACTGCTGCAGCCAGCAGAGAAATTGAGATATCCCAGCATGACACACATCCTGCATTTTCCCCTCTTGTGATTATAAAATAGAACTATGAAAAGAACAGGAAGAAAACTCTCTCTCTCTCTCTCTCTCTCTCTCCCTCCCTCCCCTCCCCTTCTCTTAAATGACACTTTTCATCAATTCTTGCTCTGTATTTTACTCTTCTAACTTGTACAACAATAGACTTGTTTACATGTTTTCCTGAATACAGCTAGAAGCTATCTCTATGCAGTTACAAGTGTTTGTATGAAATAATGTACTCTTACTGAATGTTGCATGTGAATAATTGTATGAGTCTTTCACACAACTATTCGTGTGCACAGGAATGCAGATTCTACACTCTTTGAATATTTTATCTGTGGAGCTTAGACTACAGAATGTACTTCCTTGCCTAGCTTCTTTGTTGTTTGCCTTCCGATGAACAGCAAAGAGTGGGATTTTTCAAGAGGCATTTGGGCTGGTGGAAAATTGGCTTTGTATTTGTATTTTTGTGCCAGTGATGGTTTTTGTTTTAAGATTGTATTTATTTGCCATGGTTTTCTTCTTTCTATTTGTAAATGCTATTGTGGTTGGCTGTCTTTAGGACTTGGACTCAAATATTGGGTTAAAGTATTGATTTATAAACAAACAAACAAATGTGTTAGCAGAAGATACTTTCAAGTAAGCTGATCTAGGATTGGGGGCCTCCCACTTATTCCAGTTATCCAGTTATCACTTCTGGATATGGGATCATATGAGAGGAAGGATGAGGTATAAGAAAACTATGAGTAGTAGTAATAATTATCTGCAACCAACTGCATGTTCTCACACCAGCATCTGGGATGAGGACCTTATTGCCCCCTAGATTCTGTGGGGCTCCAGCTCCCATCAGCCCTAGCCACCAAGGCCAGTGGTTTGGAATGATGGAAACTGTACTCCAGCAACATCTTTTTTTAAAAAAATATAATTTTTATTAAAAATTTTCATTATGTCAATTCCAATATCAAACAAATTCTCACAAATTTCAATTTTTGGACTTCCATCAGCTTCTCTGTCAAACATCCATATTTCTCCATTTTTACACATTTTCTAAGTTTAATATTGCATTTTAATATTACTTTTTCAATCCTCTTTCTGTTTAACAATATTCCTCTACCTTTCACAAAGCCTCTTTAAGTCCCACTAGCGTTGTTTGCTCATCACATATACTTTTCAGATATTCAGTAAATTTTTCCCAGTCCTCGATGAACTTGTGGTCCCGTTGATATCTAATCTTCCCAGTTAGTTTGTCCAGTTCAGCATAGTCCATAAGTTTCATTCTCCATTCTTCAAGTGTCGGTATTTCTTCCTGTTTCCATTTTTGGGCCATTAATATTCTTGCTGCTGTTACTGCGTATTGAAAGAGTTTATTGTCCCTTCTATTTATTTCACTTCCTATTATTCCTAACAGAAATGCTTCTGGTTTTTTTACAAATGTATATTTCAACATTTTCTTCAATTCATTATATATCATTTCCCAGAAACATTTCACTTTCTTACACTCCCACCACATATGAAAAAAGGTTCCTTCTTTTTCTTTACATTTCCAACACTTATTGCATGTCTTATACATTTTTGCTAGTTTAACCGGTGTGATATACCATCTATATAACATTTTCATAATGTTCTCTTTTAATGCAGTACATGTTGTAAATTTTATATTTACATTCCATACTTTTTCCCCAATCATCCAATTGTATATTATATCCAAAATCTTTGGCCCAATGTATCATCACCGACTTTACTTCTTCATCCATCGTTTGCCATTCTAACAACATTTTATACATTTTTGACAATGTCTTATAATCACTGTTAATTATCTCTGTTTGAAATTTTGATTCTTTTTCTGCATATCCACTCTCTTTACAATCCTTTTTAAACATTTCATTTACCTGAAAATAATGCAACCAATCAAACACAAATTATTTTACTTGTTCATATGGCTTCATTTTCCACTTTCCTCCTTCTTTAATTATTAATTCTCCATATGTAATCCAGTTCCCTCTCATATTGATTTTCTTTATGCTCATAACCTCTAATGGGGACAACCAGTGTGGAACTTTAGGTTCTAATATATTTTTATACCTATCCCATATTTCTATTAAGGATCTCCGGAAGATATGATTCTCAAAACCCTTGTGGCTTTTCTTCTTCTCCAACCACAGATACGCGTGCCATCCAAATCTGTTATCGAATCCCTCTAAATCTAGGAGTTTGTTATTTTTTAATTTTATCCATGCTTTTAACCAACAGAGACAGGACGCTTCGTAATATAATTTCAAGTCTGGCAGGGCAAAGCCTCCTCTTTCTTTCGCATCTGTTAATAACTTAAATTGTACTCTTGGCTTTTTACCCTGCCAAATATATCTTGAAATTACTCTTTGCCACTCTTTAAAAATCACAGTCCCTTTGATTATAGGAATCATTTGAAATAAAAATAACATCTTTGGAAGCACACTCATTTTAATCATTGAAATTCTACCCCAAAAAGAGAGTTTCATCCTTCACCATATCTCCAGGTCTTTTTTAATTACGTTCCACACTGGTATGTAATTATTTTGAAATAAATCAATATTTTTGGAAGTTAACCATATTCCCAAGTATTTCACCTTCTTCGCCACTTCAATCCCTATTTCTTGTTGCATTATTTCTATTACATTATGGTCCGTATTTTATACAATTACTTTCGTTCTTTTCTTATTTAGTATAAACCCGGCTACCTTACCAAATTGGTCAATCTCCTCCAGTACCTCATTTAGACTTTTTAGTG